GGTGATTCACTCCCGTAGCCCCCCTACAAAGGCTCACAGGCATGTGACAAATATATACAAACTTAAGCCTGACTCGAAAGACAATTATTATGCAACACTTGAACTTCTGTCCTTCTTTCTATTTTCCTCCACAGCCGAATACCTCAATGTGTTGTTTCATCCTTTTTCTTCCCCTGTTCAGTTTGAGATTTGTGACATTTAAACTTCACTAAACTACCCCCGCAGTCCCGATTCAGCATTTTCAACATGTGGTCCATAACAGTTCAGTAAAACTGATTCATCCACCCTGAAAATAATATTTCAACAAAAATGTTGACTTTAAATAATTTGATTACATGTTATAATACTTGATTTGCATATTGTTTATATCACACATATTTTCCTTGATGATTATTTGAATGTTTAAAACTTTTTTTTTATATATTTCAGTTTGAACTTAAGAACATCTCTTCATGTTTATGCGGGCAAAGAATGATGTTTGGTCATTTCATGATCTAATGTGGCAGCACAGAGTAAAACAAAGCGAGAACTTTCTCTTTCAGTCTGATTCATTCAACCTTTCCTGTTAAGAAATCTAACAGCCACCTCACAAACTACCACTGTTTTCATTTTTAAGTCATATCATGATTCTTTGATATAGATATATAGATATATCGGATGTCAAGAACATTATACAAAACATATTGTCAGTCAACCTCCCAGTGGATCCTCTGATCTTTTTGTTGGATATCTTTCCTGATGGTTTCTCCTATGAGCAGCACTTTCTCCTGCATCTCCTCCTCATGACTGCAAGAAAAATGATAACAATTCACTGGCTCAAACCAGAAACACCTACAGTTGCCCAGTGGCTTCTGAAAACTAGACATGTCTATACGATGGAACGGATAACAGCTCAACTACAACTAAAAGTGCCAACCTTTGAGAAAAAATGGAGACTAATTATAAAATATCTTGAAAGGACACTTGGGCCTTAACATTGTTACATCTGTGCTTAGGTATTGTTATGTATGTATGTATATGTATATGTGTATATATGTTTTTTCTTTTAAATTAAGTTTTTGAATAACCCCCACCATTATATGCAGCAGATTAGGTCTCAGGTCATGTTGTTGATGTGAATTGCCTTGTTATTTTTG